ATATATATATATATATATCGTCATATTATTTTTATAAAAAAAAAATGTTTTCATCATAAATATAAAAGTAAAATAAAAGAAAAAGGATGAAATACAAATTATAAATATAATAAAGACGAAAGAAATAAGAAATAAAATTACGATTGATCAAATTAAAGAAAGAAAATTACATTGTTAGGTATCGGAGGTCCAAGGCCTTCTTGTAAAGAACCGCTAGTCAATGTAGGAGGATCAGGATTGTTACTCAGCAAAGTGGTATTGTCCTGTTGACCGCTTCCAGCGCGTTTCAAACAATTTCCCATTTTGAAAGAACGTCAGTTCTAGCTTTGCGTTTCTCGGACAACGTACTTTGGTTCTTTAATCCCAACGTCACGATTAAACGATCACGATAACTTTGACGTGGGATATTTCGAGATCTGTCCCCATCATAAATTGCTTGTTTTTCCGCCGATACACGTAACGAAGTCCGTTTCGATCTTCGAACGGATGACAGTTCGTGTTTCGGGTGAAAATTCGGTATACGAATCTTTACCATCAAAACATCTTCCGTCGTCACATACCCGCACCACAGCTGAGTGCCCGACGCATCCAACGAGACGTAATGAGAAAAAAAAACAGGCCAGTTAGTCACAGGTTGTGAAAAAACACTTTTCACATCCCTCGCGCTACGTTCTTCAAACGTTTAGTACACACCACCGTTTTCATCTTACTGCGTAGAAAGTACTTCATTTTGATTCGTTGTTAGAAGCGTGTCGCATTTTCCAACATCCAATCAGCGAGAAACGATTCCATACAATACAAAGAGTTTGCACAAGTATGATTACATTCTTTTCAAAATACATACGGCAACTAATCTATGATTGGTTTGTTAAAATTCGACATATCATGAAATCAGTCGTGAAACATAGCATGCATTTACGTTGTTTCTTTTAATTTAAATTTCGAGATTCGAAGCGATTCAAAAAATCTTGTCATTATTTTCATATTAGTTTCTACATAACTTTTTAAATATATTTCCTAAAATTTAAAATATACGATTTATCATTAATCAAATATGGATAATGATTTCAAGAAAATATTTTAACGATAGAATGATTGTATAATACGTATATGAATAGCAAAGTCTAATTATTATCTATTCATTGGATTAATTTCGTAGGATTATGGACATTTCTTATAAATCGATGTCATCGATTATTTTTTAATTTAAAAATAGTACACAATTTATAAAAATTTAATGTTTATTAGAGAATTTATATTATATACAGAAAAATTTATTTATATAAATGATGCAATTTTGATCTTTTTGATAGATCTTTTTTATTTTCATAGATCTTGAATAACTCGTAATTGATCAATTATTTTTTGCGTTTATTTTGCAATGTACAGAAAATTGTCGCCAATAGTTTTTATTATTATTATATCGTAATTCTAAGAAATATAATTCAGAAAATCATATTCGACTTTTGTTCGATCGCTTTTAAAAATTTTTATTTTGGCAGATGATAATCAACGTCAATATGATAATTCTAAAATAAATTCTAAAATAAAATAAAAAAAAAAAAAGAACAAAAAATGTAAAATAATGTTTTCTGAACGAGAAAGTAAGATAATAGAAAAAAGTATAATTACGAGGAACAGTGATCATAATGTAAACAATATTCGTATAGAATACGATGTAAAAATCTTAGATAGACGGAAAGGATCGTTTTCGTGGTTATCTTATCTAGTTATGACCTGTAACCTTTAACAAACACGAAAAATAAGAAGACCTTTGGTACTGATCCTCTCCCCTCTGAAAAGAGTAGCAGCGTAGTTAGTTCGATGTCGTTGTCCATTCGGTCAGCGAAAACGATTGGGGCAGGAAGCACTTACTTAACCGATCTATCGTGTCGTTGTGCTTCCCACCAAACGAGTATCGCCGCGGCCTGTTTTGCACCCCAATTCCGTCCTTAGTTCGATCTTTCCGCTCGATCAGTGATTCCTTGATACAGTCTATATATCTATATATCTTTGATACGGTATACCATCTCATCTTTCATCTTAATCGTTTCAAACTTTATTTCATTATTTTTTTATCA